CCCCCACCAGGAACCCAGCATGACGGCCCATGGTATGGAATACCCTGCTCTGTTTGGCCAGGTGGGGTCAGCCCCCCTGGCTGTGCCCCTTCCTGGATTCCGGTGAAAATCAACCCTGTCCTGGCTGAACCCAGGACACATGGTCACCTGACTCATGCAGTGCTAGAATACTCAGTCATGTTTCTATCGCGTATAAAAAACACATAAGTGGAGAGATGGGGCAGTTCTCAAACTGCAATCACTATTCTCTCGTGTAATTCCTCCTTACACCCCTTCCACTGTCTCTAATGTTCCCAGGGGAATTCTAAGATTACTGCCAAGGTCTTTGTGTCGCCAGTCAGCCAAACACTTTCATGCCAGGTGTCTTTCAAGGCTGCAGTACCAGAACATAACACATCGTAGTTGAGACTTTCAGAACAGTTCATCGATGTACCATAAAATTTCCAATGAATCTAGGAATCAAACATCTACATGTCTCAGCTATTTAGGTGCAAACAAGGATGCCCTAAAAGAATCGTGTACATTTGGTTGCAAAATACAGTATCCTGTGATCTTCAAAGCAATACCTACCACCTATTTATATAAAGTTAGTACAAGTGTAGTTGAGTGCTTTCACAACAGCTGAAGTTTCTATGGAACATTTACAAGCAAGATGTCTTCATTAAAAAAAAGGTGGCATATTACAACTATTACATCTTAGAAATCTTTGTACCAGAAGTTAACATTGGGTATTTGCAGGACAGTTTGGTGGGATGTGTCTAAAAAAGCAAGAATCTAAGAAAAACATTTGCCCAGGCCTAGTAAGAAAATGACATCAGGAACAGAAACATTTTAACTCTCATTAACACTTACCAAAGCTGCTTTTGTCGATGCATTTAAAGCTTTCAACTGAAGCAGCCGATTTTTCCATTGGCTTGCTAACTGTTGGACAGAATTTATCTAAAAAGGGGGAAAGGAAAAGCATGTTTTTATTATTGGTGAAGACAAAAAAAAAATGAAGATAGAGTGATCTGACAACTAAACTGAAAGAAGATTTCTGGAATTCATTAAGCCAAGACGACAAGATTTTTGCTTTCCTGAAACTTCAAGGTGAGAAGCTAAAACTTTTGTTACTAACACAGAATTCCTTTCAGTTCTCTTACTATTGCCCTTTAATCAACTTCTTTACTTCATGTAACAATGAGATTAAAAAAAAGTCCTGAGGCTTTCTAAATTGAAGTTCTATCACTGTCTGAATTAGGTGCTTGGGAAAACACAACAAAACACTAAACCACACACAAAATACGTAGCTTTAAGTATAAGAGAACAAACTCATCAACCCTGGTTTTATTTCTGTCTTGTCCACTTTTGTGCTCGCTCATTAAGTTGAAGTCCTAAGATTTGTCTTAGTTTCTCCTGCATTTTCAGGAAATAATGCCACTTGCAAAACATTGTAATTCAGAACACTTTAAGAGTATCATCGTAAAACACTTCGCTTTGCAGAAATTAACTTCCTTAATTTAGATCAGTCCCTTTAGCGTGATTCAACAGATTACTGCACAGAACATATGCAGCAATAAATAGTACCTATGTCTGTCTGAGAACTGTGATTAAAGTATTAAACAAGAAACTGGAAAGTCATTCAATGATTGACTTTTCTGGAATTTCAAACCTGAATTTCCTATATTTAATTTATCAACACACCTTATTCAAAGCCTGGCCTAGTTGAATTTTCCTTAAGAACTAACCAAGTAAAACATATAATTGTCCCAAATGCCTGTAAAAGCGGAATGAGTAATCTTTTTGTAAATGAATTCCTTAATTTTTCAGAAGGGTCTTACATCACAAACATCAATAATTCTTTTGTGTCTGGTCACATGCTGGAAGATCATGTTGCTTGGTATCAGCTCTTACACAACAGACTGGAAACCTCAGATTTTGACCCAGTTAAAAGAATAGAAACATGCTTGCAAAAAGACATGTTGTACTTCAACCTTTTGTGAGAGAACTGTATCATACAGTTCTCATCTGCACAAAGACTTTCATGAACTTGCATTCAGTGCTTCAGTGAGGCCACAATTTTTTTTTTGTTAGCCACACATAGTGTATTGTTTAATCATTTCAGTTTATTTTTTAATTGAGGTTTTTAAAAAAACTATCTATCTCCTGTCTCTGAAAATGCAATTCTGGTAATTCTAAACATGTGAAGCAAGAGTGGCAACAACAGCATTCCTTCTGGAATACAGAGGCAAGGGGAAGAGGAAAGAGTCCAATGCAGGCTGAGTTAGTTTGAACTTGTGTCTATCCAATAGCCTGCCTTCTTTCCTGGCACAACATTGAACTGTGCTCGCTTCCTTGATATTGATAGGACTATGAGGGAGGAACAATACATAAAAATTCAGAGAGAGATACATAAAAAAACTTATATGCTACTATTCTAGAAACGTACATACTGCTTTAGAAGTATCTGCTATTTTCAGCATTAATTCCCTGGAATGGAGGTATGCAAAAGAACAAGGCCAAATACACTTCCTTAGTGTTCTGCCTAAAGCGCTATATATCCAGCTATAACAATCAAACTGACTAATAGCATACAAAGTACTAAACTTTTGAGACAAGATTCAAATAACTTCTACGAATAACACACAAGAGCATGGACAAGACTATGACAAGGAGTGCCTACGTTTAGAAAGACCATATGTTTAACTGAGACTAGCTAAAAGTCTACTGTCACCACTTTTTGTAGCAGCTGATGTGTCTTAGATGTTCAGGCCACCAGTCTTAGAAGCCCAGATCTGAGAGTGTGGGTCCGTGATCCCAGACAGAAATAAGAAATTACACAGAATCACAGAATGGCAGGGGTTGGAAGGGACCTCTGTGGGTCACCTAGTCCAACCCTCCTGCTGA